TGCCGGGGGGATGTTGAAGGGGGGTAAGGGCGGCGGGGGGGGCGCCCTGCGGTTGGGAAACGTAGCCGCAGGGCCGCTAGGACAGTTGGCGAGCCTTCCGGGGTGGGGAAGGGAGGCAGAGCGGGCCCCCTGCCTCAGATCGTCCGGGCGGAGGGTCTCCTGCGTCCCTTCGCTTGCTTCATCGCTCTTGTTATTGTGGTTGCTGGGATTGTTGTTATCCTTCGACGCTACCACCGATTGGCTTGGACCGAGGAGGAGGAAGGTTGGGGCCCAGCGCTGTTCCTGGATGGGCAGATTCCCCCCCACCTGCTCATGGTTGAAGTTGCTTCGGAGCCAGACCGGCCAGCCTCTCCTTTTCCCCTTCATCTGGTTTCTAGTCATCGTCTAGATGGCTGGGTTGGCCCCTATTTTCACACGGGGGAGAACCAAGGTTGGGCCCGGCTCTTTTTCCAAGGCCTGGCATCTCTGCGTTGGGGTGGGGGGCTGCAGATCACACACACACACCTGCCGGTTCCTTTCCCCATCTGTTTTCTATAAAGCTTCAGGATTGAAAACTGGTCCCTGGGTCATTCCTGGGTTAAGGATGCTTTGGCTGAAATCCTGCCGGAGGGCCCCCCCCCCTTTGCGGCTGGCCTCAGAGATAATGCTGAAAAACAGCATAATCTTTGGCGACCTGTTGATCCTACATGAAGCACGCATTTGCTTTTTGGAAAGAGAGTGCAAGGCTCAGTTTTTCTTTTCTTCTCCCTGTTTTCACGGGGTAGGACTAGGTGCCGAAAGTGGGGTGGAAGGGCTAAGGAGAACTAGATGGCTTCCACTATTCCATCAGCGAGTGCTCATTTTCCTCAGAGTTTTTATTGAATGTCTTGCTCTGTTGGTTCTCTGGCAAAATTCCTATATTTGCTGCTTTTTTAAGAAAGATTTCCATTAGTCGAAGAGGTGGACCCTTAAATCTGCCTGCCTCCTTTTTCCAGGTTTTCAGGTTTTCAGTAGTGTCACGTGAGTGTGGTGTGTAAAACTACTAAACGCATACCAAAGATAAGGGTAAGGCCTCCTTCAAGTCCAGTTCAACGTCTCCTGAGAAGGTGGACACACTGGTGCAGTTTTCACAGCAGCCTGAAAAGTTATTTGCAAAGGGGCAGTTCTGTGTAGGGCTTTAGATGCATCACATCAATCTTGTGGCAGGGAGTTCCGCCAGCCAGATTTATTTATTTTGCGTGGATTAGAGGCTGTCTAATCCAATCGAAACCGACTCCGGGCATCCTTCACTTCCCACTGCCACAACTCTGATTAAAACAGAACACGGTGAATTAAATTAATTAAAATAAATTTAATAAGGAAGACTTGCAGTCACATCACCTGCACCCCTTGTTGCTCGTATTATTTTTCCCTTGTACTTTGGTTTTGTCTCCAATAAGTACGTTGTCTTAATTTTGTGGGAGTTCTTGCCATGATGTTGTAACTGCTGAGATTGAGGCGAGATAAAAATCCAGTCAATCAATAATGCCAAATACAAAATCCAGATAATTCCCTAATGGCATATTGAGAGAGCTGAGTTAGCCTACAACAGATGACAGTATGTAGAGCAAGCTAAACAGGATCACACTGGGTTTGTACATGAATGGGAGGCCACCAGGGAATCATCAAGGCTGAGAAGTCAAAACTATTTGGGACGAAGAGCTGTTGCCCAGAAAACAACCAAAACATATCCACAGGAGTCAAGCTGGAGATTATAGCTCACAAAAACTCCTTGATGGACACATTTTTTAGCAAATTTTTGTGGAAACCCCCCCCCCCCAATATTCCATCCGTTCCTGCTCCTGATGCCTGGACCAACTTCCAACTCCTAAAACTTTCTCCAAGTTTCCTAACATGATGTGGGAACAAACCTATGGAGGATTGCACATCGGTAGTGCAGAGCCCACGTACAAAGGAGGTTGCTTTACCCTTGTGCATCTCAGCTGAAGCATATGTACCGTAAACTATATGCTGTTTTCCCCCAGTTAACCTCTGCCAAACCCCAGGGGGGTGGATAATTAGAAAATCTCAAGCCATACCCCGTGGCCTTCTGCACCAAATTTGAAGTGCAGCTGTGGGAGCACCATCATATGTTTGTTCTGTGCTGCGCCTGGCGTCTTTGGTCATTGCTATTATCCTGATCATCGCGATTGCCATTCTTCGCAGCCACATGAAAGCACTTTGGGTTTTTTTAATAAACTGGCAGAGGTAGGAAGCCTGTTCTGCAACCCTCTTTCCTTCCCGCCTCTCCCCTTGATGGATATCCCCAGCCCTGAACATCATTGAAAATAGGCTGAAATCCCT